GTGCTCACGGCACAAGTCTGCATCCCTGGCTCCTGCCCTGTGGCACTCACACAGCCCCTGCTGCAGCCACTGCCTTGGCTCCACAGGGTGAGTGCTGCTGGCTGCCTGTGGCAGGGTCCTCATAGTGCTGTCACACAGCTGCTGTGGTCACCCTGCTGCTTGGGGCTGCGTCACGCAGGGACAGTCCTGCTGTGCCGCTGCCCTGGCACAGTCCTGTGGTGTAGAGCAGAGCCTGTGCCCTCCCTGGCATCAGCTTGAACGCAGACATGAGTCCTGCTGCTGAACATGGACACGCAGCTCTTGCCCCTGGACATGGACACATGACTCCTGCCTGTGAACATGGAACACAGATCCTGTCCCTAAACACGGACAAACGGCTCCTGTCCCTAAACATGGACATACACGTCTGCCCCTGAACAGGGATATGCAGCTCCTCCCTCAGCCTGTCCTGACCTGGGACTGTGAGAAGCCACCTTGGCCACCTTGGCACCCAGATGTGCTCCAACATTGAGGTAACCCTGGGCTGGGGCAAGGCAGGTCCCAAATGCTGCTGCTGGTGGGATCTGGCCCCACTACCAGGTGCAGACTTTTCTTTTAGCTCCTTGGGACCATGTCAGAGCCTGTGGGAAGCTGGTGGCAGAGGAGAAGCACCCCTTGAATCCCCAGCATCTGTTTGCAAGACGTGAGAAGCAGCAGGGCATGGAGTGGTGCCACTGCTGGCAGGACCTGGCCAGGGCTGGGGACACCCTGAGGAGGCTGGACCCTCCATGGGCACTGTGTGGGCCATGTGGCTGCTCAGGGCCATGTGACCCCAAGCCTTGGACTTCAAGGACTTGTGAGTCCTTTCCAACTCAGGGTATTGTATGATTCTGTGATTCCAGGGCTGCCCTCACACAGCTTCAGGTGGCACAGCCACTGCCCCCAACCTCGACCCCAGCCCCGATGCCGCAGGCAGAGCAGGGGGCAGGAGAGGGGTCTGCTGGGAGCCCCCAGCCCACACTGGCTCCAGAGCTGGGTCCAGGCTGGGCACCCAGGATTCGGGGCAGGGCTGGGATGGGAAGGGAGGCGCCAGGGCTGGGCTGGGCGGGATCCCGCACGGGAGATGATGTATGGGCAGATGTATCAGATCGCACAAGATAAACAAGCAGTGAATTTCATCAGGGCCCATCATGGCTTTAATTTGGCTGCCTAATGAGTCAGATCCAGCCGCGCAGATAAAAGTTGTCAGAGCCGCAGCCCTAATGAATTTCTTGCCACTTGTAATCAAGGCAGCTTGTCTGAGGGGGATGATTAATGGGCCCCAGAGGAGCTGCCGTCCCTCGGCTTCCATTCCCGCTAATGCAGTCGCCAGGAAATTAACCAAACCCAGCACTGGGCTGGGGCTGGGGCCGGTGAGGGGGCACCCACGGGCACCGTGAGGGGATGGGAATGAGGGGTGACACGGGTGCAGGGGGCAGACAGGGACCAGGACCAGCGCAGGGATGAGGATGGAGACATGGGTACGCAGAGCCAGCATACAGCAAGGAGGGGAGGGGGCTGATGAAGGGGCTGGGGCCACTCTCTGCAGCCCCCAGCGGGGCAGCCCTCTGCCGTGGGAGTGGCACGGGCCACAGCAGGGGTTTGGGGGGGACAGCTGAGGGGTACCTGTGGCAGGTGGGGTGTCCTGGCACCTCCCTTCCTTGCAACACCACTACACAGGCTTGGGGACCAAGGCCCAGCAGAGCCCGGACCATGGCACAGCACAAGGAGACACATGAGCCCCGAGCTGCTTTCTGTGTTGTGGCCTGGGGTGAAGCCAGCAGGGAACTGGCAGCACAGGGGCCTTGCTCTGCCCACAGCTGGGAGAAGCAGGTGGGCTCAGGGCTGGTGGTAGTGCAGACTCCCTTCACTGCTTGGGGCTGCTTGTGCCTTGGAATTGGATGACCCCCAGTCTTGTGTAGCCATAGCAAAGCACCCAGGCTCCTCACACGCCAGCACAGCTCATCACTCCCTGCCCATCTTTGCCTCCCCCCACCCCAGCTTCACACTCAACTGTCCTGTGCACAGGGACTAGCTGGCCCCAGCATGTCCTGCCTGGCACACCCCTCTGCTGTGCCCGTCTCCAGTCCCACCAGAGCTGTGCATCCCTCCGGGGCCATGTCCTGGCATTGTCCCTCAGCGCCCAGGGTTGGCACATCTCCCCTCCCCACCCCAGCACTCTGCCACGTCCCAGGGGCCTGATGTGGCACAGGACTGCTGTTACCAGTGCCCAAGCTGGAGGAGAAGGGGCTGACTGTTGGTCAGCCTGGGCTGGAGAGCCACCAGACTCCAGTGCTGCACCAGAGGCCCCAAAGGCAGTACACTGAGAGGCTGGCCTGGCAGGAAGTGGGTTGCTTTATTGGCCTTTATCTCCTTGGCTGCAGATGACACACACAGGGCAACTCATGGCAAAGAAACCGTATATACAGAGTGTCCATATAAATATTTCCAATGTACATTTTATACACAAGTGACAGAGACGTTCCACAGCAGCGTCCAAAGCCTTGGGGTTCCAGCACTCAGCTGCAGGCTTGGCCCCAATTCAGAGAGATGCTCCTCTCCTCTCCTCTCCTCTCCTCTCCTCTTGCTCAGCCGGAGACCAGCCCCGCCTGGGCAGCAGCGGGAGCCAGCGGGAGGCTCTGATGGAGACACTGTGTATGGCTTTGGAGCTTGAACCTGGAAGGACAGTGACTCTACAGACAGACAGACACAGCTGGGGATCCTGGGGTGACTACCTCTTCCCCCTCCAGGTCACCAGGAAGGCTGGGGAGATCTTTGTCCAGGGGCTGTGCAGGGGAGATGCTGCCCATGCATCAGCACACGGTACCAGTGAGTGCATCTCTCCTGCACCAGCCGGAAGCAGAGGAGCACGGGGGTGCAGTAGAGAAACATGCACCTCCTGCTGCCCCCCACCTCCCCCTGCAGGGGGCTGTGTGTCGAGGCTGACACACAGGAGGGAGGGCAAGAGGGAAGTGCCCAAACTGACCTGTCTGGGAGAGTGGGTGCAGCCATCACCCTCCCCAGTACCACTGTGCACGGGGGGCCACACCCCTGAACTGCCCCCAGCCTCTGCTTTATCTACAGGTGTGCCGGGTGGGGGGCAGGAGAAACCAGC